TTCTGCAGGGATCTTGATGCATACTGGCTCACTCAGATGGACAACAATACTGTACATATAGATCGCTCCAACACGCAATACCCAGAAGGTACGCACAAAATAAATCTCTGACCATTAATCATCATAACTTGCGAAATGTACAGTGACACCAGTGAAGTGGACTTACCCATTCGGGTAAAATGTATAGTGTACGGTCACAATTTACTGTTGCTAATAATATAAATGTTTCTCTTCTTATTATTAAATGATTTGTTAAAATGAGCAACAGCGGATTGATAAAAACGCTTTAAACATCTCTGAGTCCTTTGAAAGGTTAAAGTCTGCAGTTAAAGCAATAATTCTTCCTTTGATATTCAAAATTCATTGTAAACAGCGCATGGAAATATATTCTATTGCATTTTACCACTAAAACGGCTGTTATTGTAGTAAAACTAAAACCTGTGTTTGTCAATAGGGCTTTCGATGCCTTTCTTCACAGTCGTCAAGGCATCCGTTGCCAATGACGTTTGGGTGTCACGCGGATTCTCGCATTCAATCGAGACCAAAATAACATGGCCCCAAACGCGTAGATGCAGTCTGCAGACGTAAGTTGCGAGTTTTTGTACAGTGCGTCGGATAACGAAAAGCCCAGAATTGCACACATTGTAGATATAAATGCATTTTGAGCAATAAGACAAATATATCTTATGAATCTTAGATTATTGTTATATAGTGCTGTTTTAGTCTGCTTTTCCCGCGGTTTTAAGTAGGTCACCAGAAAATATCGCTCGATATCTCGTGACTACAGGTATGCAATGTCAGAGAGAGCTCCGTCAGTTAAAATCTCTTAAGAGATTTTAACAAAAAGCAAAACGTTTAGGAAAAAAAAACTGGACTAACTTTGAATGCAGGAATGGGGTCGTTGACCATTGGTAAGTACGGGAAAATTGCCGTTTACTCCAGGAAAATCCAATTTTTGGACAAAACGAAGAGTTATTATGACTTTAATCAAAAACTGAACACCGAACACAGAAGATTTATTTGTTACTCGAAAGAATTTATGTAAGGCCGTAAATAAGTTTTGAGCGAAGTCTGACAATATTCTTAATCAGTTATAAATTTTAAAGTACCATTTGCAGGGCGGGTAAAGTCAAAAATGATAGTTTTTCAGTTGTTTGCTTCTTATCAATCTGTGTAAATGTAAGTGGCACTTACAGAGGGGAGATCAAGACCAATGATTTTACTACACGTAGAGGTCATATCACCACATCTCAACACTTGCGGTCTTCTTTAGTCAATACCACACTGATTGCAAATGCTAAAAAATCTCAATTATACACTTGTGAAAGTTTGTTATATATATATATATATATATATATATAGTTGACATTGCTTCTGTACACAGGGGCGGATCCAGGATAATATGGGGGGGGGGGCGAAACGCGGATGCGAAGCCCCCCTCTCCCCCCCCCAACCCCCCCTTAGCGTGGGGTTCGGGGCTCTTCATTTTGGTATTTTACCGGGCGAATGGTGTCATTTAGAACTATAATTCAGCTAGTCAAAATTCTAATTTCAAAGGGACCATTTGTGTGATTTTTTTCAGAAAACGAAGGGAGGGTCAGGACCCCCACCCCTGATACCCCTCGAAATCCACCCTTGCCTACCAGGCCTCATCATTATCACTATAAATAACCAATTAAAGTGTCCATCAATGTAATCCGCAAACTTCAAGTGACAATTGCTCTCATGGGACGAAACACAATCATATGTGAAAAGCTTTACAGAGCACAATCCTGAGGCGCGCCTGTATGTAAAAGCACAATATCAAAAATGCGTTTACCCACTTTCACATACTAACTTCTGTGTAATAATAAAATCTAAGATCCAACTGCATAAAAATTTAGGAAATGTCAGTTCATTTAGAAGCTTTAAATAAAGTTTATAATGGTATTAAAAGCCGGACTGTAGTCTATGAATAAGATCCTTACACATATTTTCTTGTCCGCGTGTTCTAAATCGTTGGGTATGCAGATACTGAGGACGTCGTCCACGCTTCTATTGCTTCTATATGCAAATTGAAAAAAATCTACTGTCTCTGGTAAGGTTGTTTTAATATATACGATAAAACCAGTTTCACAAGAATCGGACTTGGAGTCACAAGACCAGCCGGAGATGGTTCAGACACTGTTTTAGACTTCGGCACAGGGATGATGGTAGTTGTGTTCCGAGAAACTCGCTGAGAGCACAGCGATAGCTTGAAGCTATCCTAGGAGTTAAAACCTGGATTTTTTTCTTAATACTTCCTTGGAAATTCGTAAATTCGTACAAGATCCCATGGCCAGATTTGTCAATTTGCTTCAGCGTAATGACTTGACAAATCATCACCTAATAGTTATGGGTTGAAAGTGTTGATGAGAACAAGGTCTTGTAAATATGGCGCACGCCTCCCGCTTGGGCACAGGTTATTGTGCATTAATCAGACTACAACGAGTTTTTACAGGTACTTTCTAATAGATTAATATCAAATATGCAGATAAAAGCACCCCTATAAGGCTGCCTACCGTAAACCTATATGGAGCACTACAGATTTCCTCGGGTGCAAATTATTGAGGAAAAGTGAAAAGCAGAAGGTAGTGTTTTGGGTAAATTGCAAGTTACCAAGTTTCTTCAAACACAATTCACCTGTGCTTAAAACAAAGAAAGGGCATTCAGAAGTACGCATCCATGGGCCAAACTATAGGACTATTACAGTGTACATTACAGTGCATATAAGAATCCATACCTGACCTAGGTGTGCTCCCCCCGGGTTAACGGGATGTTTTAAACAATATAAACTCTGTAGTCACAGCACATTTGAAACATTGTGAGCAGCATTACCAGACGTTTTTCTACAACATAAACGGTCCTACAAGATATACAGGTAGGTTGTTATATTTACCTTAGTTCTCAGTATTCATCCTTGAATGTGCAGCCATTTGTAAAATTGATAAATCTAAGCAGCAGTTTTTCATAGTAACGGTTACAACGTTTTTGAACTCAATGGAATATGTCTAGTTTTATTTTACATCAGTTTTGCATTGGAGTAGGAATTTAGTACTGATTATGTATTGCACGTGTATCTTTTCTACAGAACTCACATATTCAGCTAAAATCTGGGCTTTGATAGTGCCACTCAACATGGAAAATCTGTGTTGTGATGGAAAAATGAAAATAAACTCGTGATAGGTTAAAAAAACATTTCCCAGCATGCAGGGTATGGCCCGAAATGTCACCGTATGTTGTGGTTTGGGGTCATGTTTAATTTGACTCGTCGATTGGTGGTTATAGGATTAATTCTCAAATCCAAAGTACAGTCTTTCCTCATGTTGCAAAATATTTTTGTTCATTAGCTCCACAAAAACAATTAGTCTCCACCATAACGTGACATGAATCATTTTGTTTGGGATTTGAGTGAACCACTACTGAACTTATGTTGGAATATTTGAATACTTGATTTAATATACATATAGCTTGATAAAACTACCAATGTGTAAATGGAACGATTATGTGCTCCACTTGAACGATTAGTCAGTGAACAATCAACAGTCATTTGGGTGACCTGTTGCTTGTTAAAATCCTGGCAGTTGGATGTCTTCTTTAACTTCTCAGTGTGTCTTTCTAAAATCATGGTCCTGCAATAGTTACTGTAACCTAGCTGAAAGAGTGCCAGTATTTTAAGCTTTACACCGAACGCATATTAAAACATATAGCTCTTCCATTTATAGCCGTGTGTTTGTTTTACACAACACACATCTACACTCAACGTAAATGACACTGTTGCTTGTCATAAGTGGGTCTCTCAGCATTCTCTAAATGACTAGCAAACCCTTAATACCAGTAGTCATGTTGAAACTAATATGATTTTAGATATATTCAGATATGATTAAACTGATGGAAAATAGTAAGTAAATTTAAAGTGTAATTTGCATTAAGTTTGAATACATTCAGTTCCATGTATATGTGGCAGGTTGCATGTCAGCTATAAAAGTTACTTTAAAATGTAATTCAAGTAAACGTATGAAATAGGAGGCAAAGAGATATACATCGGGGTTTCTCTTACAGTATAGGATACCTGCGTATCAGACAATGCCTGGGGGTGTCCTTTAGGTATACTATAGTATATATATTGCTCCATGTAAACGTTCAGCTAGGGAACAGTCTAGTCGTTCCAGTACGTCATTTGGGCGACCTGTTCGAACAGAGGACGGCATATCTTATGGCTGTCCGGCTTGATAGAATTTTACCGAATGGATGGTTTAAATCCTATGATATGATTTAAAATCATGGACACTGCTGTAGTAACTGCACCCTGAACACATTTTAAGCTTTATGCCGACTGCAAATTAAACATACCAGTATAACCCTTCCATCTTTAACCGTTAATTGTTTTTAAGCGGGTAACGCACAGCTGCATCGTTTATGATAGACTCTTGTCCTGATTGTCATTAGCAGGCCTCTCGACATTCAGAAGGGATCTTTCTAACTTCAATGTGTTTTTCTACAGTACAAAACTAGCTGTTAGGATATCTGAGTTCCAGACAATGCCTCTGCACATCCTTTACAGCTAGGTATATTGTTCTATATGCTTGAAAGTGTCCCTTTTTATGTCTAAGTATTCTGCTCATCGAACCTAATCCAGACTAAATAAACACAAAACCCTTAAAATCCGCAATTAGCGAAATAAAACTTTTCTGCAATTTTGAGGCAGTATTGCTGCAAAGTCAAACTTTGCAGAGGCGGCAATAAGTTTGAAAGAAGAAATTTATTGCTTCTTATTTGCAGCAATATTGCAAAAAATTACTGCAAATTTGCCAGAAGGAATTGCAGTTTGAAGCAAATTTGTACTACTCGTACTACTTTTCTTGGATTTCATAAAAAGGTGTTTTAAAAAAAGTTGTATATATTTATTTTCCATTACACTACAACATAGCTAAATATAACAAAATGCATTTATTCTTTGTTGTTTTCTGATATTTCATACGATGGCCCTGCACAAGAATTACAGCATTGTTGCTGTTACTGTCATTGCTGCTGTTGCTCTTGTTGGAACATTAGGAGCAGTTCCCATCTCTGAAAAAGCAGCACCCGATGTGGGGAAGGTGGGTATTCTGAATTACGAACGCTTATTTACAATAATATATTTTTTATTTTTTCTATCAATGATACCTGAATGATATTTTAAGATTTGTTTGTTGTATTAGAAACTCACAAAACTGTGACGTTTCCAATTTCAGTGACGTTACAGTACGGAATTGACGTAATTAGGTTTCGTTTTTCAGAAGTACCACCTTCATAAGGACGTCAAGAGAGAGAATGAGAATGTCCAGGTAAATGTCGAAGACAATGTCACCGTGTACAACGTCAAGGATGAGCAGTTCGAGGTTGCTATGAACAGCTCAAGGGTGAGAAAAAACAGCTTAAACTTAATTAAGCAATAATTTTATTGCAAATCATTTAGAAAGTTTAATTTGTTTGTACTATACCTAAACGCAACCAATATCCATTCCCAAGAAACAGATTTCGTCCCCACAGGGTTAGATATTAAAGGGATAATAACTCTTCGTTTTGGCCAAAAAATGAATTTTCCTGGAGTAGACAACAATTTTCCCATACTTACCAATGGTTAATGAATCCATTTTTACATTCAAATTTAGTCCCTGGTTTTTTTCTAAAAAGCTTGGTTTTTTGTTAAAATCTCTTAAGAGATTTTAACAGAGTATAGCCATCAATGGAGGTCACGTGGTCTAAAGACAAGCTCAGATATCAGAATAATAACTATAACTGCCGTTTTTGTGGTAAAACAGAATATATTATATTTCTATGAGTTATTCACAATGTTTTTATTGTGAAATATAGATCTCATACGAAGAGTTATTATCCCTTTAACTGATTAAACCACCAGCACGCGTTAAAAAAACGTGATTTTAACGTTCTACACTGACATTGTTTGATGTAAAGTTGCCGGCACGTTCTGTTAGCGTATAGATGTTGATGAAATTTGTAAATTATACAAACCGCAAGCGCTTTACGCAGTTTAAACTACATGTACAAGTACATTTGGCGACTTATTGTTGTGGGGCTTGGTCGGCGACCAGAGAGGTGCGAATTTAAAGGCATTCGGACTGTTGGTTAATTGAACTTTCAATAAGCGCATGCTGTTGCTAATTTTTGTAAATTTTTGGACGTTTTCAATTCAGTAGACGTTTTATATCTATATAAGTCACATTTGAAGGGGTGCTTGTCATAAGTTGGAATAAATGGTATATCTTCACTGGAATTTTATATTTTTTATGAACCACTAATCATGTTTAATATGGTATTTGGAATAAAAAAAAATACAGTTTATAACAGTTTACACCTGTGCGGTGATAATTTGCAAATATAACCACATGCACCTGAATGTGGGACAACCATTTGACCAAATTGATATTTTTCGAGGGGATTTTTATTGTTTTAACTCAGCACAAAGATACTAGAGACGCATTATCAAATAAGGCCACACTTTTTTAATTTTATGGATGACATCCTGCGCGCGCACGGATGTTCGCCCGTTCTCCAAAAAAAAAAAAAAAAAAAAAAAAAAAACCCCCCCCCCCCCAAA